GGTTCTTTACCGATTGGCGGGGTTCTTTGCCAGATCAAGGGGGACTGGAAGATGATGAAGGAGGTGCTCAAGCTACCTGGCTGGCAGGACGACGGGATTTGCTTCCTGCGCAACGTCAAGAAGGGCGAGGCCCGTGGGTACCCGAACCATCACGGGAACTTATAAGTCACAATCCCCTCTTGGAGTGGGGTTTAGGGATGAAGATCCCTCTCGAGGGAGGGAACTTATGGAGGGCGCCGTCTTGCGCCCCCTGCTACAGGAGATCGTCGTCTTGCGGGCGGGAAAGAGAGGAGGAAGGAGGGGGGGGGGAGGGGGGGGGAGGGGAGGAGGAGGAGCAGGAGGAGAAGGAGGAAGAGGAGAAGAAGGATGAGGAGGAGGAGCATAGGGAGGAGCAGGAGGAGAAAAGGAGGAAGAGGAGGAGAAGGAGAAGACGGAGATGAAGATTAGGGAGGGGGCAGGGGGTGGTCGCACTCCGCCATCGTGTATTTCAGGTGAAGTCGCAGACTGGGGGAGACGCGCCGTGGAGAACAAACCGTCGCGCGTGGTCGGACATCATTTGGAAGATCGTTGTTTCAGGCGAGACTGTGTGCCCTCTCTTCCAAGTGCCGTTTGCAAACGAGAAGCTGCTGAAGTTAGACTGGCTGCACGTCGTTGACCTTGGAGTGGCGGCAGATTTCGTCGGCGGCTTGGTCTGGTACCTCGTAACGCACAGAGAGGTTGCAGGGGCTGCTCAGAAAGCCCGCGTGCTGACGCTGCATCGTCATCTGATGGCGTTCTACGACAGGCAGCCGCCAGGTGAGAAGACCAGCCGCTTGCCGAAGCTGACGCGGGGCGTCGTGAAGGGGAAGAAGGCGAAGACGGCTAAGATGAGGTGCGGCGCGGGGATGCTCAGGCACATGGTTCCATGGGCGATGGAAATTGCGGATGCATTCCTTGATCGTCGGGATGGCGCCGACCAGCGGGCAGCTGTGGAATCGTCAATTCACGCTGGGATGAAAAGCTTGAGTCGGTGTTGCGACGCGCTGTCTGATAACCATCCATTTGCTGTGGATATTCTTCGTGAGCATTCAATGCAGTTTGGCGCGCAGGTGGCAGCTCTGGAAGACGCGCTCCCAACGCATTTCAAAGTTAAGCCGAGAATGCAAATGTTCCAGGAGCTCTGTATGGAAGGCGGCGAGCCAGCGAAACGCTGGAATTACAGGGACGAGGATTTCGGTGGATCTGTAGCTGCTTTTGGCCGAAGGCGGGGTCAGAAGAGATCCATGGGGGCATTTTCGCTGGCGTGCATCGCGAAGTTCTGTGGCCAACCGATTCTGCGCATGCTTTGAAAGAAACACCTTGGGCATCATCATTGTCATCGTGTACGAAGCCCCCCCCAGTTGGGGTTTTGAGGCCCCTCCCAGTTGGGGCTCAAACCAATTTAAAGCAACAGTCCTGTATCGAACTATTTTTCCCTGCGCAAAAAAAGATCAACCCAAACAACAGTTCTACCCCCGCATTATAGTGCAGCCAGGCATTATAGTGCAACTTTGGAATCTCAAGGGGGGGCGCCGAATTCTGCCCCGGGGTGCCCCCCCTCGGGATCTCTCGGGCCCGGGCGCCGCATTCCCCGGCGGGCCCCCCGGCCTGGCTCGCGGCCGTCGGGGCGCGAGAGCGCTGGGGGGGCCCGCCGCTTGCGGGCGGTGGAAATGCAGCCGGGGCCTCCGCAGGGGCCTCCACCGCCGGGGCTCCAGGAGGCGACCAAGCCGACGCCGAAGGCGAGGGGCTCGGGGGCCGCACGGCGCGAAGGAAGGACGTGCACGTACATGAATCCGCGCTGTTTTCGAGATTTCGCATTGCGCGAATACTCGTATCACGCGGCCGGTCTCGCGGGCCAAGGGGCCGTGCTCATGTGCATATCGGGGGAGCGCAAGACCCGGGTTTGCCAGGGCTCGGGTTCGCCATCGTTTGTTGGCGACCGCGCCTCGGATTTTGACGAGGAGGAGTTTCGTGGGATGTCTGTAGCGGGAGGCCTCGTCAAAATGCAGGCTCGGCCTCGTCATTTTTTTGACGACCTCGTCGGGGATTTCCGAGTCCCCTGTACCCGGGTCTTACGTCTCCCCGTACATAGCTGGGCGCGTACGTCCTCTGTGGGCCCCCTGGGGTCCGCACGGCACGAACCAGAGAGGCAGAGAGACAGGGCGCCTCCGACCACGCGTTGGCGTGAGAGCTCTATACGGAAATCCGCGCCATGCCTGCCCGAGCCAGGATCTGTCGCCTGTGCTCCAGATGCGGATCCAGCCGATGGTTCGGATGTCGAAAAAAACACTGAAGCCGCCAGCGCCGCTCCAGTCAGAGGGGCCGCGGCCGCCACCATCGCCTCGGGGGCGTTGGACGTGGCTGGACTGTACTCCGACGGCCCGATGTCTTCGGCGACTCGCTTGCGCGGAGGCTCTGGAGCATCCTGGGAGTTCTCTCCGCCAGCCGTGCCGACCGCCGAAACCGACCTCTTTTGATTGAA